TCAGCCTCGATCTTGCTTTAGTCGGCCGGATCAGCCCCGATCTTGCTTTAGTCGGCCGTATCAGCCTCGATCTTGCTTTAACCAGCCGGATCAGTCCCGATCTTGCTTTATAACTTAACTAGTACTTAACGAAAAGTAACTTAATTATAGTGTTTTGGAAAGCTCTCGAGATGAGCTGTAAGAATGTGCAATGAGAAATAAGGGGTTCCATTTAAAAATTAAAGATGACCTTCACGTGACCTTCAGAGGACTATCCAAGGTCAAATCGATGGCACCATCTTATGTTCCCTTTCGAGTCAAACAACTTTTGTCTGAAACATTTTTGTCTACTGGGTTTAGTTTTCGAGATATTTGGCTGGATCATTTAAAATGGGACACCCTGTATATTACAAAATGTAACATTTTTCAAATTTTATGCAAACTCCCTATTTAACTACCTATTAAACATATTGATTGGATTTATATAGCTCGTATTGCTGTCTGAGCTTATTTGCAATTGTTAATATAAAAATTTGTTAAATTATACATATATTTTAAAGTGATTCGAGTTTATTATTTACAGAAAATTTCTTTCTAAGTGATCCGATTCTGCATGACAGAATTCCTGCAAAATACAAAAGTCATAAGGAAATTTACGAAGATGCAATAATGAAAGGATGTCGAGTGTTACAGAAAGTGCAACAGTTACATGACTCGGGGAAAGGCGGCATGGACGTTTTCTCGTAAGATATTTCGACGTGTAATAAATAGTATAATGTTTTAAAGTCGTTATGAAGAAATGGTGTGTGTATATACAGGGTATATCGTAAGTACACTAAAAGATTTTAAAGGGTGATTGCTCACACAAATTCAAGACTAAAACTTCATATGACGATCTGTCGGAAACGGTTTAATTTCAAAGATATAATGTGTCAAAGTTGGAAAAAATATCGTTTTTTCCAAAAATTTCAAAAACCGTTCGAGTTATTTTGATGTAATTGGTATCCTAACAAATTTACCTTTCTAAAAAAAGGTAAAAAAAGACGCTAAGGGTGCGTGTTTCTCTTAGAAAAAACCGTTACATAAATTATTACACGCGCTTGTATGTGCGCTTCTTGAAAAAAAAATAACTTCCTATTCCAAACCTATTATCCAAACTATGAAAATATACAATAATAATTTTATTTCAAAAAATGTATGAAATCTTTAAATTGCGCCAATTATAAACAGGAAATACATTTCGTTGAAACACTAGGTAATGTTATACACAGTATTGTTAAAAGTAGGGGTTTCTCCTTAACGTAGGGAATTTTTACCTCAAAAAGGCGTAGGGAATTTTAAGTTAAAAAAGACCAAAATGTAAGAATACGTAGACGTATTGCCTTTCAAATACAAGAATTTAATTATAGCACGATATTCAATTTTTTCCATTTTTACAAAATGACATAAATGATTGTCAAACAAGAACTGAACGTCCAAAGTGCCCACAATTGTGACAGATATCTTTCGTAAGTATCACGATTATAATACCAGAATGGCTTTGACGAGTAACGCCATCTTCATGATAAAGCTCAAAACTTTTCAGACGACCCTCGTATATATATATACTAAATAAGCATGTTGAAACACTGCAAAGACACTATAATGTTCAGCACGTAGATTAAGGAATTAAAAAATGTTATATTTACAAATTTAGATTATCAAATATTATTAAGTTCTAAAGTATAACCTCGTATTTGACATTTCTCTATTTGATTTATTAATTCTTTAATGATTAATTCTTTGATTATTCTATATTTCTTTTTTTATTCTTAATTGATTAATTCTTTAATAACACATTGTTAACGCATTCATATAAATCATAGAAAAAGCATTAAAAAGTTGTATTCACGTAGATTATTGCTGAAAGAAGACTTTATCATGAACGCACTAATGGTCAATACTTGAAAGAGTTTGATAATTTATCAGCACAAAGAGATGACAATGAAACAATTGGAAGTACGTAATGTAATCAGACGCTATTCATTAAATTTAGTATAATATTATAAATTATATTTTACAATTAAAAATCAAAAAATAATTTTATTTCTTGATGTAATAAATATTATCTAATAAAAGTCACAGAAGAACTGTCGTACTATTAAAATAATACTGATGTATAATATATTTTAATTTAGCACGAAGAAAGCGGCTTGCAATGTTGGATCTTCTAATAGCGGCATCTCGTGAAGGTCTTATGACTGATATAGATATTAGAGAGGAAGTCGATGCTTTTGTGTTTGCGGTATGTTTTTGTAATAATTTCTTTTGATTTTTTACGCATTATTCGCTATTCCAATATATGTATATAATGTGGTTGTAGGGCTACGATACTGTAGCAATAGCTGTAAGCTTTATTTTGGCACAATTAGCTGAGCATAAGGACATTCAGGTATTTATATCATCAAATATAAATTGCTATTCTTAGACTTCTAAAGAAATTAATTAATTCAAATAATTCTAGAGAAGTCAGTTATTTAAAATATATCAAATTAAATATTTTAAATGTGTGTATGTAATGTATTGTTTCACTGTATAGATATGCAAAAATGTATATATACGCGTGAGTGCGTATGTGTAGGTATGTTTCAAATGCACTGAAAAAAATGCATGTAATTTTACATGGAAATGACATATTTATGACCGGAAAATTACTTAAATTACGTAAATATGATTGAAAATTTACTGGAAATATAGAATAGTAAATTTCCAATCATATTTAGATAATTTTCCGGTCATAGACATGTAATTTCCACGTAAATTACATGCATTTTTTTCAGTGTATTCTATTTTTCAACGTTTTTTTAATTTTTTTATATACACATAATTAAAACAAGTTAATTCGATATTTGTGAAAAACATTTCTGAAATTTCATAGAGTTTGCCAATTGTGTCTATATAAATGCATTAAAATAACAAAAAAAGCACTTTTAATTAGCATTACTGATACAGTAACATCAATGATATAGGATCGTGCTAGGAACGAAGTCGATTCTGCTATACAAGGGAATGAGGAGCAATTTACTTTCAAATTGTTGCAACAATTACCATATTTAGAAAGATGTATAAAGGAAGCGTTGCGTTTATATTCCAGTGCACCGTTAATATCACGTATTTGTGGAGAAGACGTAAAATTACGTACGCATTAAAAAATTCTTTTGTTATATTTATCCTATTTTTTTAAATATATTACTTAATATCTCAAGTAGCAAGGAGACATTACTTGTCATTATTTTGACATGAAAATAATAATAATAGCTTTATTGAAGAGCAAAGAGACACATATTATTATATACACTCGCCAACAAAATTATCGCAACATAAATTTACATAAAAATTTTGCAACTTTTTTTAACTTGTCAAGTAACCGTAATTCCGTGAAAAATGGACGTATTTAAAAGTTCTTTTTTCATTCAAGGATAAAGTTCATACTTTAAGATTTTCAAAAATTTCGAATTTATTCTTATTTCCGCCCGCCATTTCTTCTAAAGTAAGGAAGTGTCACAACTCGAAAAAATTGTATAATTTAACAAAGCTGTGGGGGATGGAATGAATTTTTTTCGTTATGATAATCATCATAAAGTTGGACTTTTCCTTGCAAATTAAAAAAAAATAAAGATTTGTGCGATTTTTTGTTGCGGAGGTACGGTGCACCAAAATTATCTATGCATTTTTCAATTTTTTGTTCAACTACCGCCAGCATTAACATTATCCGATGCGCATCATGGGGAGATTCCTGATCGGATTTTGCGCATAAGTTATCATTACTCTAATATTCAGCAGTAGTATTATTTACCATGTTCGCAATTTTCTCTCCTTTACATATGAGATACAGCATATAAAATTTTCCAAAAATAGTATTATACTTACAATTAGCATTATACATAAGATAATTAGCATTATTATTAAATTTAAATTAATATATAATATTATATTTCATAATACATAAACTAAAAGCATATATTCCTGTTTTATATCTGCAGATATTTAATTTTAAAAATTTAATAAGAACTTGTAATTATTATTTATAAATCTCATTTTACAATATCCTTTTCAGAATCATATTTAGTACCTGCTGGAACAACAATAAATATGATTATTTATGCAATCCACAGAAATTCCAATTTCTGGCCAAATCCAGAAGTATTTAATCCAGATAGATTTTTACCCGAAAAAATCCGAAATCGTCACCCTTATTCGTATATATCATTCAGTGCTGGACCACGTAACTGCATCGGTAATTTTTTATACCTTATATAAACAATAATAATTTTTTATACCTTATATAAACAAATTACGGTATATATAAAATTTTAGGCCAACGATTTGCTATGCTGGAAATGAAGGCAATGATAGCTTCTGTGATACACAATTTTTACTTGGAGCCCATTGATTATTTAAAAGATGTTCGGCTACAAGCTGATATCACACTTTGCCCTACTCAACCACTTCGTATAAGATTTATCCCTATTCACAAAATTAATGTACGTATTTGAATCAAATATCGATTTAATATATGTTATAGAAAGCAAACGTCGGAGAAGTAGTAAAATATGGTGTATGTTATAGACAAGATTGAGTAGTAACTCGTTACTCTTATAACAAAGTTATGGTTAGTAATAGTATTACTTTTTTTAAGAATTGTAACTTGATTATATTTTTTGGTAACTACTGACTAATTTAATGGTTATCTTTATAATTATTTTACATTTTTACGAACGTATTTTAGGAACATATTTTACAAATTCATTATATATTATTATAACATATGAGCTGCGTAAAATAAAGCGATTAATGAATAGTCAGTGATTATTTCTTGTGATATGAATATTTATACCTTTACCTTTGATATAACCTTATTCCATAAATATATGTATTAAGATTTATATCTAGGGTCCTTTTATGAATCCATCTTATTATACATATTGGTCTCAGTATTTTTTAAATATAATACGTTTATTAATTTATTATAAATTATTAATTCAGCTAATATATTGAAATGTAATGAATTTATTTTTAAGTTTTTAAAACAGAAATGTGACTCATTATATAGAAAATAATATATAAGTACATATGTATAACCGAGTATTTTAGTATACTAGAACATAACAGGCGCGCGCTTCGCGCGCGCTACTAAGCTTTTAACGTTTATACAGGATGTTTTCAAATTCGCGCCCACGAAGTACAAGACGTGAAACTTTATGCTAAAATAAACAACTTTTTCCTTTAACAAAATTGCGTTCGATAAATAATTTTTATGTTTATTTGTTAAAATCAACCTGCTCTCCTGCAAAAACTACTTATCGGACGCAATTTTGTTAAAGGAAAAAGTTGTTTTTTATGCTAAAACGAACAACTTTTTCCTGTACTAAAATTACATGAGATAAATAATTTTTTGCATTTACTCTTATAACTTCAACCTGCTGTCATGCAAAAACCACTTGTCAGACGCAACCTTTCCTTTGCAAAAGGAAATAGTTGTTTGTTTTAACATAAAGTATCGCGTCTTGTACTTTATAGGCACGAATTTGAAAACACCCTGTATATACAAATATGTATAATATATAGGTATATGAAACTTGCAGAAACGTTGCAATATTGCAGATTGCGCTGTAATATCGCTGCAACATTGTAGGTATTAGGAATATTGTAATACATATAATACATATTACGGCGCAAGATTTTACAAATTGTTACAGAGACATTAAAAAGATTTTGGCTTTTGAGTAATGGACTGCGCATATGGAAACATACGTCAATTACACGTTATATAATTGTTAATTACTTCCATTAATTTAAACATTATAGTGTTCACTGAAACATATGTCATCGCCGCAGTGCGACAAGATTTTTCAAACTTTATACTCAATTATCATAATTTTTTGAAATATTTGGATTTAAAAAATTCTCTGAATATTGCAAAAAAATGAAATAGATTGCGTGGAGTTTCTTAATATTTCCATTTTACCAATTACGAATATGTACAAAATAGGCGCACCTGCATAAAATGTATGATATACAGGGTGTCTCACAACTATCGCATTTCTTCTTAAGGACATATTCTTGAGGTAATTTTGAGACGAAAATTCTAATACGAAAATATCGGAACTACAATAATTTTTTAAATTATAAGCTAACTTTAAATGCTTATGAATCAAAAACCATTTTAGTTTTATAGTCTATTATTATTTTAGTTTTATAGCCTCTCTCTATTATTATTTCTCGATTCTTTTGAACATTCTAAAATGAAAATCCTAATACGAAAATCTCGAGGCTATAATAGTTTTCGAATTACACATTATTCTTAGCCAATTATAATTCAAAAACTATTGTAGCCTCGACATTTTCATATTAGGAGTTTCGTCTCAAAATTACCTCAAAAATACGTTTTTAAGAAGAAATGCGATAGTCGTGAGACACCCTGTATATTTACAAAGAAGTGTATATATATATATATGTCTATATACGTGAACTTTAAAATATATATACAGGGTGTTTGAAAATTACCGGGTAATCGATCACGAGCAGGTAGAACGGACCGAATTGAATCGAAAATTCTTATACTATTTTGTAGGTTGCGCAATAGTTAACGAGATATTAACGTTTAAAGATAGCCGAATAAGCGCGCCTACTGCTGCCGAATATACAACTTACCGTTCCCACCGATCGCACGGCGCGCGGGCCGCTGGGAGTGGGGATGGCCTGTTAGGCGTGCCGTTTGAAGACGTTTAGTGGCAGTTCCCATCCCACTCCCAATGGCCCACGCGCCGTGCGATCGATGGAGAGGTAGGTTGTACTGGCCCAAATGGTGCTCCTCGTAAAGAACCATTTGGGCTAGTTTCACCAACGCCAATTACTTAATCGGCCGTGAAACTGATAACTAATCACGTTTGCTGTTTAGTAGAACTAATGATATGTATCATTTGTATAAAAGATTTGATATCAACAATTGGCGCCAAGTAAAATTCCATGTAATTCGAACACATTAAATTTTACTATTTTATTCCTCCCAAAGAAAAAATAATTTATTTAACTTTAATGTTATGTATCATATTCGTATAATTGATTATCAAATTAATTAAATTCTACCAAATTAAAAAATTTAATTTACATGAAAAATTTTTCTGTTTAAATTAAATTTTTTCATTTTATACGGTTAATTCTTTAATTTTTGTGGTAACATTTAAATTGAGCAAGGTAACGCAAGTTTGTGATGTTTTGTATAATATTTTGAAGGAGAATTAAATAACCACTACTTTAGTTGGAAGAGGAAATGTCTTTGAATGAATTGTGATATAATGATTTCATTTAAGAGGAATTTAAACCATTTGGATTGGAATAGGAAGATTCTTCAATAAGTATACGTATACTTAGATTTCATTGTATAAAAATTAAAGATAGTACTATTTGGATTAAGTAAATAATAAATAAAGATAGTATCACTTGAGTTTTACTTTTCATTCTGATAGTAGAATTTAACTTGGCGCCAGTTGTTGATATCAAATCTTTTATACACATGATACATATCATTAGAATTAAGTAAATAAAGATAAATAAAAATAAAGATAGTACCACTTGGGTTTTACTTTTACTAAATAAACCGCATACCCGTCTGAATTATTTGCTTGCACATACATATACATAGCATTTAACTTCATAAAAATTTTATAATTTCATTCAACTTTGCGCCATTGCTGATATCAAATCTTTTTCTTTTATAAAAATAATAGGTATATCTCATTGGAATTAAGTAAATAATAAATGTACTAGTTTAACTTGGCGCCTGTTGTTGATATCAAATCTTTTATACACATTATATATACGTATATTAAAGTTAAGTAAATAGAGAGAATCTTTTATACACATGATATATATATCATTAGAGTTAAGTAAATAATAAAAAAAGATTGGGTTTTACTTTTTAATTTGGTAGAATTTAATTAATTTGATAAATGATACGTGTCATTAGTTTTAATGAACATTAAAATTACAATCACAATTACAAGTATTATCAATTTTTAATTTAATCTTAAATCTATCTTAAATCTATCTTAAATCTACGCATCGCTCTTATAATATTAGCTACAGCAGCAAATCCTTTGTATATATTAGCAAATTTCGCAGCTATAGTAGCTAATGCATTTTAGCAAATCAGAATTATATTAGCTACAGCATATTATTGATACCCTTGTTTTGCAGAAGCGAATGGCTCGAACTTTCTCGTTGCGCTCAACGCGCCATGTAATCGGATCGACAAATCGTTATTACTTTACAACCATAATATTTAAAGAGCTAAAACTTTCCAAAAAACTTCCTTAACTAATAAAAAAAATTGTAGTATCGGTAAAAGTTGATAAATCGAAAATTCGTACGATAACTTTTGTGATCGAATGGATAAAACTACGAATTCGAGAGAAATATTTTGAAAAATTCGGCATTTGGCTGTGAAATGTTTCGAAAACTTTTTATATACTTTATATTTCGAGAAACATATTGAAGTTTATCCTGTTAAAATTTCAAAGAAAAATATTCATATTTGGCTGAGATATGGCGAGTTAAACACAAAACCTATTAAAATTTTTTCATTAAAAAAATTATTTTTTTTGTTTATAACTTGAAAACAAAAAAAATTCCAAATTTGGCTTAAAGACAAAAAAGATGCGCTATGAAATTCTCTACAAGAATCAGTCGTCAAAATTGAAATTAGGGCGATATCCAAAATTAGCCCTTGCGGACAATATTTAGCCTGCGAAATCCACGCGTATCCCCTTATAGAATCCAGCCCCTCAATTACTTTTTTCCTCTTTTACAGATTCGAAAATCCTTTTCCAGGATTAAAGTATACGCATTAATATGTGTTTGTGAGATAGAGTTTATGTCAAGAACGACAAAAAATTTCGAAATTTAAATCTTAAGAAAAATTTTTTTGTTCTCTGCATAAACTTCACCTCACATACACGTAATGCGTATACTTTAATCGTGGAAAAGGATTTTCGAATCAGTAAAAGAGGAAAAAAGTAATTGTTATACAAAAAATACGACTTTAATTTTGGAAAATCTTTTTTGTTAGGCCTTCGATCACAATTTTGCAAATTCAGGATTGTTTGTGCATGTCATACGCTTCCGGGGAAGATATCATTTGGTACGTACAACCTACAGAATTTCTGCACTAAGGAAATTATAACCTAAGGTGACAGCTGTAAGAGCCGAAATAAAGTGAACTTTTAATTTTTTCCCCGATTTTCTCGTCAAATTTAGTGTGGCCGATGTTTTTTTCGTGCATACTTTTATTGTGTAAAAGGTTTTGGTAATCTAGAAAGCCAATTCGGAGAAATTGGCAATCTGCAATTGTCGGTAATTCCTGTTAGTTTAGTCTGTTAGTTTAATCCACTTAAGATTAAAAACCCTTTTTTTGAATTATGTTTCGTCCATTTTGAACGAAGTCAGCTTGAATTTTGAAGTTCATAGCGCTACGAACTTTTGTTCCGATTCGAATTCGTATATCATATACACGTGTATATAAAAATTGATTCGCCCTCGGATCTGGGGCACCTAATATATTCATATGTCGAGCGTATGTACGTGTACGTATGCATTTACATCATCAGAATCACAGGTCACTCCTCGCGCTGTTAAGATATTATG